TAAGTTTCGAACGATTTTAATAAATAGTGATCGAGTAAATGAATTTTCATTTACTGCCAGTTTTTTCCGCCACTACTGTAACTTCAATAAGATCAGAATCAATCATTTCACCGTTATCAAAAGAAATAATTGATTTAAGAGTTGAAACGACTTTTTTTATATCTGGACGTTCATCAATTTCGTATTTCCAACATTCTAATTGAAACAAATAGGGTTAAAAACATTTTTCAAAGTAAAGATTGTAATTTATATTAATTACCTTGATATAGATTACTATTCAGGTGGAGTTTCGTTGATAATTTTTTCTCTCATTCCATTTAATATAGACAGAGTTAAACATTCATCGTAATAAAGACCCTTAAATGGTTGATACCCACTTGAAATTTGCCACATCAAGATTCCAATACTATAGACATCGGATTTTTATTTAATCTGTAATTCTTATTATTTCTATCTAAAATTTTTGGATCCATATAAGGTAATAAACCAAATACATTTAATGCATTTTTTGACTCTTCAATTTTTTTGGATAAACCAAAATCTGCCAATTTAATAATTTTCTGATTTACAAGTATATTTTCCGCATGTTATATTTAATTAATGAAGAAAATATTTAATTATTCAAAGTCGATAAAATAAATTAATATAAAAGATTAATAGTTACCAAATCGCAATGAACAATATCACAATCGTGTATACATTCTACTGCACTTGACAATTGAAAAGCTAGCTGATATTTATCATTCTAATCAAGGTCGTTAAAATGTTTATTTAAGTAAGCATTTAATGTTCCATTGTCAGCATATTCCAAACTAAAGAGCACTAGTTTATTTGATGAAGTGCACTTGCTATTCATAAAAACAATAAAAACGGAGATAAATAAATTAATTTAACATATTCGTCAAAAATTTAGTAATTATCTCCCCAATGTCTATCAGTTCCTCCTTTTGTGATCCCACAAAATCGCAGAATATTTGGATGAAATCAACTCTTTTATGTAATTTATCTATATAAAGAATGATAATTTTAATTTTAATTTTGTTAATATTTTAACCGAGTATAATTATCTTACCTCATTTACAACTTCTTTCAAAGTTATTATATCGTTATTGAAAGATTTCAAAGCAAAAATACAACATTTCCAAAAAAAAACCATTTCCTAATGGTTGTAAATTGAAGAAGTCCGAATATTCATAATGACCATTCGATATAAAAATTTGATTTTTCAAGGATATCTGACATTTCCGTTTTGTTTTGTTTAAATTTTGCTTGAATATTTGGTAGTACCAGTTAACGCAAATCTCGTAGCACAACTATTTATAGTTGAATCCAATAGTATACAATTCTAATTAATACAGGGTTATCCTCGTCAGACAGTACTTAAAATTTATTAAAGTTAATTTTGAATTAAAAATTGGTGTTAACATGATCATATGAGCTTAGTAAATAGTGGACTCAAATTATTTTATATGTTTTTGTAAACGCTATCAAATCAATAAAGATCCTGATGAAGCTGTTAAAGTATTTAAAATTTCGCAATTCAACGTCAAGTTTCATCAATTGCACTTCCGAATAATGTCTATTAGATAATAAAATGTACTGTATTTCAAATCAAATTAGCTTAGCTATTTATACGTGCCACACTTTGAATATAGAAATACAAAAGAGTATAATTGCAATGTAGCTAAAGATCAAATACTTTTCATTATTTGTGCCTTACTAATTTTATTAATTGTGTAGAATTATGAACACCACTAGGAGCAATGATGAGTATTAACAGCATTGGAAGAAACATGTTCTTCCGATGTAGCAATATGAATCGTAAATGATTTCTTGGATGCATCAAAATTAGAAGCAAAAATGAATTATTATGGTAAAAGAATTGGTACAAAAAAAAACAGCTTGAATTAGGTTTCCTTGCCGAAATATTGTATGCCCAGATAGGTATGGTTTATAAATTTTATAAAATTTTATAAAATTTTTTCTTTGTATAAATCTTTTATGATAAATTTACCGTCTAATTCGTTAAATCTGATCTGTTACTCTAAAAACGATTTTTCCTTTATCTGCCATACAAATTACATTATTGGGTCAAAACTTGTTTTAATAGTTTTAATCATGACAATTAAAAGATTAGGAACGACAAATGACCTCAAATTATAAATGACAAATGACTTGTCATTTGGTTACTATCATTTTAATTATTATCAATACAGTAATATATATATCGTATTATTTTTTTGTTTATTATAAAATAAAATTAAATATTTAATATAAAAAAGATTTCTGATAAGTAGAAAAATATTTTTGTATTATGTATTGAAGGGGCCGAAATGGGAACAATCACTGCTATATTTTTGGAAGAGAAAGTAAAAAAAAAACAAACAAATAAAATGATTGGCTTAAATTTAATCTGAACAAAAAAAAAAAAAAAAAAAAAAAAAAAAAATTAGAAGTAACAAAAACTTAACTCACTCATATTTATAGAAGGGATCTAACATGAAAGAGAAACCTAAAAAAAAGCAAATCCTAATAAATTAAAGAAATTATTCAAATGCTGCGCCCAGAGAGATTAAAATAAAATAAGAAAAATAGACATAAATATCAAGAAAAACCTTACCTTATATTTGCAAAAGTGATCCAACCTGAAAAGAGATTTAATAATGAAATTTCGATTGTTGCGAAAATCTTTATTTTGTTGTTTAATAGCAGATGACTAAATGACAAATGATTCAAATGACATTTTGATTTATCATTTGGGGTTTAGGATAATTACAAAGGATTAGATAAATCCTTTATATGGTCAATGACCGAACACTGGTCAGATTAATCGGAGCTAGTGTAAAGAGAACTAATTTATTTGAGACAAGAATTTCATTAGCAGACACTCATAATGACTCATTATATGATATCTTAGTTTGTGAAGAGAAGATAAAAAAAGCTGCTAGAATTAAGAAGAATTTGTTTAAACTTTAGGTAGAACTTGTAGTGAATTCTTCCAAGGGACTCGCTAATGAGCAGAGATGTTGCAACATTACGCAAGCCAATAATGCAAAGAGATAGCTTTATCAAAATGATCTATTACTCATTGATTCAGTCCTCCATCTCTCATAGTCATTAATCGGCAACTTCTGGCTTTAGAACTTGATATAATATATAAATTATATTACCTAAAAAGTTAGCTGAATTCATAATACTTCTAGACAAACGTTTTCACGAAACAACGAAATTTTGTTTGATTAACGTTAAATTTGTTTGCAAAATGTAATAAGTTAAATATATTGAACGTGGTTACACGATTGCTTTATCTATAATAGCGTTAGAATCAGTGATGGTCAATTGCTCCTTTATCTGAACGCCTTGCTTTTCCTATTAGATCGATTGCGCCTCCGTAGAAGACAAGTACCTTCGGACGCTGGTAATCCAACAGGCGGAGGCTTATCAAATCATTGGTGTAAACTAAAATACTATCGTCGATTTACTTCTTCCTGAATTCCAATGATCAATTATTTTATTTTATATTGTCTAATTCTTTGTGAAAAAAGGCCACCCGCCTGGCCTGGTAACGTGCTATAAACTGAAACAACACATGTTACGAAGCGTGCAGGCTTTGGCACATCTTCAGATGGTCCCGATGATTTCTGGACATTATCCACATTTTCTGGATATTCATTTTGATAGGATGTATCTTAAGTATCTAGTTTAGTCCCTCGGAATGCCATAACGGAATGTTATTATGAAGACTTACATGTATAGCTTATTATAATTTCATTGCTTTAAACCCGATAGCCATCATATAGATCCTAGGTTCTGAGCATGCAATGTAGTTAGGATGTGACTTTAGAAATTTATATATCGATATGGATCATCGATTTATGGTTGTACAGTACATGCAAAACAGTATATTATTATTCTGATCCTAATTTTTATTAATATTGTCACTTTCTCTTTACAGCAAAAACTTCAATATTTTCAACCGTAAAAGATCGAGTATTAACGATAGGACTTTGAAAATCTCTAGCGACGCAACTACCATTTTGACCATTAATGATCAAATCGGTAGTGCCAAAATGAAGAGCTTGAGTTTGATTATCAAAAGCTAAACTAGGATTCTTAACCCCAACACTTTTCAATGATCTAACCTCTAAATTAGGTTCAAAAGAAAATAAAAAGGATTTAGAGTAATCTGTCCTGTCTTTAGGATCAACCTTCATCCAACCCAAAGGATTATAACCACCAACAATTTTCCCATTACTCAATTTAATCAAAGCTAAACTAGCACCTTGATCATTACATTGATTGCGAAATATACCAGAATTAAATCCATCTCTATCAGCTCTATATAAAAGGGACAGTGAACATTTTTTGGTGCCACTTTGTGATGAGAGTTCATAATTTTTAATTAAATTACTTATAGCCGTTGCTTGCTTTGATTTGATGATAACGGAATCCACTTTACCTAACCTTGGCCATAATTTAGGTTTTTTTTCCTTCATGTGATAACCCAGTACTTCATCAAATAATTCTGGTGTCAACGTTTGTCTAAACGGTCTAACCTTATTATAAAAATCATTTGAACTTATTTCAAAGAAATGAATGCACGGGATGAATTTTTCAATGATTCCTTTTAAAGTTATAAATTCTTCATCTGTCCAATCGGTCGTATCAAAACTAGTTGCGGAAGTTTTTTTGGATATCGTAGGGGATTGTGCAATGCCCCATTTAATTAATGCTTCCCAAATGATTAATTCTTCGCATTGTAATGTTTCTTGATTCAAGATCGCGAACAAAATATCCTTGTCCAATTTGATGAATTCTTCTGAAGAAAATAATGCCTTTGGATCCTCGCAAATCCCTTGCATACAGTAATCCCAAAGTTTTACGTATCTTTCTCTCTTTTCAAATGTTTTTGTTAGGATTTGATAATAATTTTGTCTAACCCAATCCGAATATTTAGAAATTAAATAATCCTGTAAATGATATGATAATTCTTCAAGTTGTAATAAAGTTGCTCCAAGCAACATATCCAATACCTCTTTCCCTTGTTCGGTCACATTTGACAGATTCACAACTCCCGTATAAATGTACCTTTTTTTTAAAAAAAAAGGAAAAAAAAAAAATTCAAGAAATGGATTAAAATTTCTAAGAATGCAAACAACAATGACTTACTGAAGAATGATTGGAAAAGTTTTAAAATCAATTTCCTGAATTCTAACATCGATAACATTATTTTTACCAACGACATTTTGCCTCAAAAGGGTATCCCTAAAAAATGGGGAGCGAACGATCAAGATATTCGAATGCGCTCGAAAATTATTCTCATTAGGATAATTCCCAACTTTGATATTAACGACCTTACTTTCATTTACGTTTTCGATCAATTTTTCCAAGTCATTCGAAAGCGTTTGATAAAAATTCGTTACAACGTTCATTTCTTTAAAAAAAAAAAAAAATTTTTTTGAGAAAAAGCAAAAAAAAAAAAAAAATTAAATATTGAGTACATACAAGTGTGGTACAAATAAAAATTCAAAATAGGGAAAAGCATCATTTCCAAAATTAGATGATACTCCAAGTATTTTTTTTTTCGTTTTAAAACAATGCGTACAGGAAAACTTGTTTGAATTTGGAAAGGTGCGATCGATAACTTTATAAAATTACTAACCACAAACTTATATTAAATTTAGCACAACGTCGTACCGCGTTACACAAGGCTGCAAATTAAAAGCACGAGACAATATTTATAAAGAATTATTTTTTGCTTCATATTTTTCATATTTTAAATTCTCGACACAAAAAAAAAAAAAAATAATTAAAAAAAAATTAAAAAGAAAATTAAAAAAAAAACAATTTATATAAAAAATATGGCTATAGAATTTTTATCATATTTATCTAATGATTTTTCATATTTATTAGAAAACCCAGATTTTAATTCAGACATTACGATAGAAGTAACGGGGGAGGATAATAGTATAAAAATATTTAAGGCCCATTCAATTATATTATATGCGAGATCCGAATATTTTAAACAAATCCTATTAGAAACCAAAGAAGGAATTATGAAACGAGACCCAAGTATGGTTGTCTTACGCATTACAAATATTACGCCGACCGTCTTTTCCAAGATATTAAGGTAATGAAAATTTCTTTAAACCTTTACTCTTAATCATTTTATGACATTACTAACGCTAACGTCACTTTTAGGTATATATATACGGGAATCATTGATTTGGAGTCAACTTCGGGGGAGGACACGTTTGGACTGTTGATTGCATCTTCAAAGTTACATTTCCCCGAAGTAGTTTCTTATGTTCAAGAATATCTCGTAGAGAAACATAAGGCGTGGCTATTAAATAACTTTTCCACAGTGGTAAATAGCATATTTAAATTAGAATATTGTCGTAACCTTCAAAATTTTTGTACATCATATATATGTGTTGAGGCTAATATATACCTCAGCACTAGAGATTCGTTAAAATTAAATAAAAGAATTCTTTCCTTGATATTAAATTTAGATAATTTATATATTGAGGAAGATGATGTTTGGGAATTTCTGATGAGATGGGGAATAGAACATACGAAAGTGTTATTGTCTAAAAGAGACATAACAAAATGGAACGGTGAAGATATCGAGGAATTAAGGAGTACTTTGGATGGTTTGATACCATTGATTAGATTCCGAGAGATCAGTTCAGATGACTTTTATGAAAAGATTAGGCCTTACAAGATTATTATTCCTCATGAAATTTACGAGGACATAATGGCTTATCATTTAATTGGAGCAGAAACAAAAATTGGGATGCCAAGTGGACCAAGGAGAGGATTTATTGACTCTGTTATTATAAATTCAAAGCAAGCCGCCATCGTATCCAATTGGATTGATGGAGGAAAACCTGATGATGATATAAATCTTTTAATACCAAAGAACAACCCGTACACCTTTTCTTTAATTTATAGAGGAAGTCAAGATGGATTGAACCTGAAATCATTTAGAGAAAAGTATAAAAAATTAAAATGTTCTACAATCCTTGTAGTTAAATTAAAGAATTCTGACAAGATCATTGGTGGTTATAGTAATTATTTTTATTACTTTTCAACTAATTGTAATGATGAAAGTGGAAGTTTTTTATTCAATTTCGATCAGAATATTAAATCTTGTAAAAAGATTGATGGGCTTTTCAAGAATTTATATAATGGGTTATATGATTTTAACACCCAACTTGTGTTTGCACATGGTGATTTGACCATAAATTTCGAAAATTTAAGTATAAATTGTAAACAAATTAGTTTTAAAGAAAGAGTGCTAAAACAAGAATCAGCTTATCAAGTTGAAGACATTGAGTTATTTAGACCGATTTGGAAATAATGTTGTAAAGGTAATGTAAGAAATTGTATTGATAAAATTATTTATTTTTTCAATTTAAATCATTTACCTGTTAAGGCTTTGTAGTTGTTTATAATTAATAAAATTAATAAAATAATTTTTGGAAGTATAAATTTTTAAATTTTATTTAGATGATGGTGATGTTTTGATCATGACTCATGAAACTTATTCAAAGTATAATATCATTTTAATATATCAATAACGAAATAGTATTCAAAAGAATCAAGATTTAGTCCCACTGGAGATGATAATTAGCAGAACTTAACACTTATGTGTCTTGAAGATTCAACTGATTCCGGTTCACAGCTTATTAATTTAGATCATCAAGGTTTCTTTCCTAATTATCTGCATTAGACCTAACCCTTTTATTTTTGTACTGACTCCATTTTTGTGTTATGTGCTATGGTTAATCTTATTGCTTCCGATCTCCTGGTCTTTATTTGACAAAAATATGCTAAACATCAAACGATTTTAACACGCAATTTTCTTTGGAAATCTTGAATTTATTTGGTAACCCGCAGATCATGCTACGCCTCAAATGATCCTTAACTGCGCTGAATATCATTATCAAAAAGCGTAGTATAGTAATAGTTAACAATTTTATATAAATAGACCTGTAAGTTGACCTTGAGTTGACAGAGTTCGAAGAGAGTTCGATCAGATAGTTTTCTGAATAAGTCTTGGGACTAGACTAATAACTCTACGGTTTTAATAAAGTTACTACTTTACACTTTCAACCTTCTTCTTGTCTTCATCATAGGATTGATCGTGATAACCTACTACACAAGAGAATTGTGATAATAAATTGTTTTGTTAGTTAATCGTTAATTTCTCTTAGGAAAGGCCTTTGAGATAATTGTGATATTAAGTTTATTAGTTTTGTTAGCTTGGTTTGAGACGATTCCAGGTCTAATACCGGCAACCCGATGTTTAGAATTGAACCGAAACTAATCTAGAAATCCTACTCGGGCTCGTCGTCCTAAGTTAAATTAATACTATAATTGCTTGTTTGGATTTTATTGAAAAATTCTTCAGAACATAAAGGATGTTCCTGTAAATTACGTTCAAATGTAATTCTTTGGCATTAATTGTTACCCATAATTTTTGAACAGATACCAGTCGGCATTAAACCTTTTAAATATAATGGATTTAATCATAATCAATCATCAACAAAACAATTACAATAGCGAATAATTTTTAATTCTAACCTGAAGCGTTATTAATAGCAATAATTACTTCTCCTTTGTAACAATAACAAAATATTATCATAGTATTATCATATAATGTTATATTTTCATCTCCCTAATATACAGTACCTTTAAAAGAAAAAAGAAAGAACCATACCACGTCATTGACTCATTTATTTGGTAGTTTGGTAGTATTTTTTTTTTTTTATCATTGTACGATACAATAACTCCATACATTTGCTAAAAATAAAAATAAAAAAAATATGAGAACAAGGGAGGAAATTATAAAAAAATAAATAAAAATAAAAAATAAAAAAATTTGGAGACTAAATGTTAGAAACAGTTATTGGAAGCCAAAAAATCTTTTGAGGTATTTTTTTTAAGACTTTCTCTATGTTTGAGAATATAAATGTTTCAGTAGTTTTCCTATTTTTTATATGAATTTATTACATACATACAGTACATGGAAGATTTTTTTTATAATCAATATTTTTTATCATGAGGTTTTATTTTTATTTTAGGCCAATAAGTTTTTCTGTATAGTAAAAATTCTTATATAATATCAATAAATATAAAAAAGCTTAATAAATTAATGAAATAAATACAAAAGATAAACAAATAATACACGACGCGACGCGTAAAATTAACCACAATGGCGTAATTTATAGATCGTTATGCAAACCGTTTTGACTGCTTTTTTTCCAAGTCCACTTTTTTTTTAAAAATATTTTCGTGATAAATATTTTCTTTTATTGTCTTTTTCTATTTCTATAAAAAAATGTGAACTTTACTTTTTTATTTTTTTATCTTTCGACGGTTTCGATGACGAACTCTTTTATCAGGTAGCTTCATCAGTTGCTGGCACTATTTTTGTTGTTCTACATAATGAAGAGAGTATGGTGAGTATACTCAGACACCTCGGTTGGCTTGGATTACTGATCTTGTTCTTTATGAAGAGCGATCGTTGTAAAAAACTTTGATTGGGGTTTAGGCACACACATGAGGACTACTATTTTGCTTCTGTTACTCATAATCAGTTTAATTATTCATCCAGCCAATAATGGAAAGGCCAAACCACGAACTAGCAGAAAGAATCATAAGATCGCAACTTGAGACCTATGAAGGGAAAGTCAACCATACAAACTTGCGGGACGTTGAAACGAAAATGATTATAATGGTTTTGACATAAAAACATTAGATGTTGTAATGGCTAGGAAAGGTAGTAGCGTACGTTATTTCACTTCATGAATTATAATATTATTTGTTGGGTGGACGGGGCAGAAAATGGAAAGCTGATAATATACTTGTTTTATCAGTTCAACGTAATGTTGAACAGAGTATATATTTTATAATGGAGCTGAAATGAAGCAATAAAGAGAATAGAATTAAATGTCTCGCTTCATGTTAGAAAGATACTTGAAATTTAAGAGAAATTTGTTAATAAAAGATTTTTTTGCGTCCCCTGTGTGACAACTAATGCGCTCATTTAAAAATTCTATGTTCATCCGTATAAAACCTATTTTTTCTTCAATTTATGAAACATTTTGAAATTTGACTTTATTTCCATTTATTTACAGTATATAGAACTCGACTGCGTGTCACTTGTAGGTGTGTATACAGTTGTCTATACATGCACATGGATTCACAAACATATATGAACCTTATTATAAAGCTGGTCTGTTTTCTTGAAATTTTAGATGTGAGTACCAAATAAAAAAATTTGTATGCAAGTTTCATTCTCACGCAGAAACTAACTTCCATTCAATTATATAGCGTAGATTTTGTGAAAAAAAGAAATAATAAATCTTTTTTTTGTATCTAAAAAAAAATGAGATTATTGCTTAAATAAATAATTTAATAAATTTTTTTTATTAATTAAATGTAATATACTGTATATAACACATATACATGTACAGTACACAATAATTAAAATTTAAAGAAAAGATAGAAACATTCGCCGTCTGCTTGTGCCGAAGGGGGGAATCAGCTCTACCGATTATATTCAGGATTTACAATGGTTGCAAATATTTATTACAGCATTTGAGAGGAGGCT